GTCAAATCGATAAAGAGAGGACTAGCGGTCCGCGGAAGGCGCCACCTTTGTTTCGCTGCATCGTGGATCCAAATGTGTACCGACCAAGGTTCCGACGAAGAAATTCGTAAATCGCAGAGAATTTAAAAATAAAACGCAGCAAACCGAATTTTATCGTATTAGATTTTAGATTTTATACTAATAACAAGATATAGTTTACATACAAATACGTATATACATAAATAACTAAATTTTATGTTGCAGAAACACCCTTTACTGATTATAAAAAAATCGTCGGCTTAGAGTGTAAACCTGCTAAATCCGTTTTTTGGCAAAATTGACCTTTTGATGCAGTTCGAAGGAGTAGGCGATTCCGCAGTTGGCAAGCAAAAAAATACGTCAATATAAAAATATAATTGTCAAAAATTGTTTGATGAGTAAAGCTGCTAAGTACAATCAGTTCAAATTCAACTGCTAAATCCAACATATTGTGCTTCTGTCGGTCGATTATTGTTCTATCTTAGAGTATCACTTTATGCATTTAAGCCAAGGTAATAGCCAGCGAATAAGCTTTAATTTTTTATATCTCAAGGAAATTATTGTTACTTGTGGAACGAAACAGAAGGAAGATTAAATGCAGAAGAGTTTTCCAGCGTGTGGGTAGATTTGATAGAAAAAAATGTAGTACCAAATAATAGTTCCGGGGAGCCAATTACAGTCATTTTTTATAGCGACGAATGCACATATCAAAACCGAAACAGTATTATGGCTAATGCTTTGTTATACACAGCTATAAATAACATATCATTATTGAGCAAAAGTTTCTTGAAGTAGGCCATACTCAAATGGAAGCTGATTGTATCCATTCCACTATCGAACCAGCACTTAAGAAAAGAGATATCCATGTTCCTGCAGAATACATTGAAGTATGTAGATCAGCTAGAAAAAATTCAAAACCATATGACGTAACTTATCTTAGTAACACGTTCTTTAAAAGCTTTAACACAGTGCAATTCTTTAATAGCATTCGTCCCGGTCGCGGCAAAGATGCTGCTCAAGTAACTGAACCGCAAAAAAAATCCCCAGTAGCTGTTTCCTTGCCGTTTTCTCACCTTCCGAATTTATACGAGAGTAGGCGTACGATTGCTCGCAGAAAGTATGAGATCTCCAGTATTTCAAACGATTACTTCCTGAAGATTACCACGCCTACTATAACAATTTACCTCATGATTGAATAATATGTATCATACTTTCTGGCATTATTGAGTTCCTACTTAAATTATCTTATATGTGGACTTTGTACTATTAATTTATAATATATATATAATATAATATATGTTTTATAAACTGCCTATTTTTGTTGCAATAAACGGAAGAATAAATCTGTTGTATTTTGTATATATATATAATTGTTTTTATCTATGGAATCCTATTTTAATTAAGATTTAATCACAAAAAATAAAATAGAAACAATTTTATTCATACAAAAAACCTGCTAAATCCACTTCAATTTCGAAAATACAAAAGCTAAAACCTGGCTAAGTTAGAAATTTGCCAATAAAACCATAAAACCGTAATTTTTTTCATTCGTTCTGGATTAGGGCCATAGAACGTCGCGCGATTAACAAACTATATGTAGGATTTTCCCCTTAGACTAAGAGTTAAAGATATATTTAGTTTTTTGCCTCTGCAGTAAAATATGTTTTTTGGTCGTTAGCAGGTTTACACTCTAAGGGTCTAAACATAGTGGAGCGGCGAGCAAAGCGAAGAGCTAGCATAGAGCAAAGCTTCAATTACAAATGTGTATGTACGCTTTGCTCTTCACTATGCGCTTTCCCATTGAAACATATGCGTTTGAAATCGAAGCTTTGCTCGATGCTCTTTGCTCGCCGCTCCACTATGTTCTTACCCTAAGGCGACGATATTTTCCGTTGAAAAATTTATATTTATAAAAATTGTAGTAATTCAAGTGGTGGAAAAAATAAAGATTTGAAAAAACCGCAGTAGATCATTCTCGCTAAAGAGAAGCAGTAGATGTATTGCAATTGCAGTGAAATCCGAACGCTGGTGCCGACTTGCATGCGCGCTGATTAGCTGTTTTGTAATTAACTTTTGCATTGTCAGATTTTAAAAGGGAGGGGTTATTCTTGCGCTATGAATTTTTCGTTGGAAATTTGTTTGAAAAAAAGAACCATCAAGCGCAACACAACCTTTTTATATGACGGTTTGCTGCCCACTGAGCTTAGTAGCAGCTCTCTGCTCTCTTATTTACGAACACATGCGCAAGCAAGATCGTTAACTCGTTATTGTTCGCCACCAGTGTTGCCAAACATGGGCTTTTCCTACCAAAACTGGTAGGTTTTTTTTTCATTTGGTAGGTTGGTAGGCTAGATCGGATTTTGGTAGGTTCCGCGACAATAATAGTTATTTGCGAAAAATAGAAAATAGGTATCTCCAAACATTTTAGCAACCTTCTTTACACGAATATTTCACCGGTGCGTTCGTTTAACGGCGAACGCAAACATGTAAATATACCTACATATAGTGGATTCATAATTTCCCACACACCCACTAATAGCAGATACAGTGTTCGTCGAGGAGCAAGCCGAGGCATCACTGTTGTCGGCAGACGAGTTGAAGTTAGCCCTGCGAAGAATGAAAGACGGCCAATCAGCATGCTACACACATCAGGCAAGATGATGGAGAGTCTGCTTAATACAGGCTTGACGTCAGCCATAGAAAACGAGGAAGGCCTTTCACCCAGACAACATGGCTTCAGGAAGGAACACTCAACTATAGGAGCAATTAGCGAAGTAGTTAAAGCGGTACATAAAGCCGAAGAAGCCTGCCACCAGGCGCGGCCAGTATTGCTGCTAGTCACACTGGATGTCAAGAACGCTGCTCAAGAGTTACAGCAAGGTATTGGTCAAATGCAACGTTGGGCATCGTTAGTACAGGAACATACCTACTTTCAGCTCTGCTCATCAACACCTGCTGAATGCACCAATACAAACAACATTAGGTAATTTTTCCAATGTCATCGCTTGACATACATATTATGCGTATTATTATTGTTCTCGCTCTAGCGTTAGAAGTTTTTATGGCTGATGTACTTAGGAGTAGAACACATATGTATGTATTTTTCTCATATACTTCTGTATGTATATAAAGTCTCTGGTGAACTTACGGGAGAATATTCAAGAACGTGAATCAATAAACAAGTGGAAGACACTTGAATCAACTTATTTTTTACAACGTGGTTTTCTACTTTGCCGAACTCATTCCTATACAAACGCCTTTAACTCTGCAAGATGGGACGACATGCTGGAAGCCCTGGAATGGCCATTCAAAGTTCCGACATACTTGCTAGATATGATTCGAGACTACCTCAGAGACCGTTGGCTTTTGTACGAAACAAAACAAGGTCAGAGAAAGAAACGTATAACCGTCGGAACGGCACAGGCGTCTGTACTTGACCCGTACCTCTGGAACGCCACGTATCGCCATGTCTGTTGCGAAATGCCGGAGATCGCCTTCCTTGTCGTCTTCGCGGACGAGGTGACCGCCGTCATAACAGCAAGAAACATCCAGTTAGCGCAGCTCAAGCTGAACCAGGTAATGCGCAAAATCAGTGGATGGATGAGCGATCACGGTGTGCAATTGGCTACAGCCAAAACGGAGATCGTGCTCCTCACCAAGAAATGGATCCCAACCATTACAAGCATGATGGTCGGATCTCAGCCCGTGACTACAAAATACCTAGAGGTGAACCTTGACAGCAAACTCACATTCTGGGAACACCATACATTATTCCTTGCGAGCACTTCTTGACTTCGCGCAGATTGTTGGAAGAAAGATACGGAGACATAACCCCGAACAACGTAATTGGGGTAATGATCTCCAGTGCAGACAATTGGGAAGCAATTGCGAGATACGTGAAATGCGTAATCCGCTGTCTACTGAGGGCACCCGAATGAAGCGCCACTACAATAGAGCAGCCTAGAGGCTCCAGTAGCGCGCTCCTGTATCTAAAGACATGCAGAGTTGCGAAGCCAGATGCGAGATTCTTGCGCGGGCGGTTGGNTTGACAGCAAACTCACATTCTGGGAACACCATACATTATTCCTTGCGAGCACTTCTTGACTTCGCGCAGATTGTTGGAAGAAAGATACGGAGACATAACCCCGAACAACGTAATTGGAGTAATGATCTCCAGTGCAGACAATTGGGAAGCAATTGCGAGATACGTGAAATGCGTAATCCGCTGTCTACTGAGGGCACCCGAATGAAGCGCCACTACAATAGAGCAGCCTAGAGGCTCCAGTAGCGCGCTCCTGTATCTAAAGACATGCAGAGTTGCGAAGCCAGATGCGAGATTCTTGCGCGGGCGGTTGGAGTTTGGGTTTTAGTGGGTAGCCCACCACGCTTCAGTGGGAGTCCCACACTCGGGGAAGGTAGTATAGAGACTAGTTCCCCCGGCCAGTGCATAAAGCATTTCCCTCTCCTACGAAAAAATAAAAATTAAATAACAATAATAAAAAAATAAATAATAATAACAATATGTATGTGTAAAGAGACAAACACTTGTGTAAGTTTTTACAGTAAAATGAANCATAAAGCATTTCCCTCTCCTACGAAAAAATAAAAATTAAATAACAATAAAAAAATAAATAATAATAACAATATGTATGTGTAAAGAGACAAACACTTGTGTAAGTTTTTACAGTAAAATGAATTGTTATAGCTGAGTTTTATTTTTACTAAATGTTATGTTATCTTCATTTTTAATAAACTCGACGTTGAAAAAAAATTTTTGGTAGGTTTTGGTTGGTCTTGGTAGGAAAAAATATTTGTCCGTGGCAACACGGCAACAAAAAAGTGAACACTATAGCCTATTACACGGCTATTGCTTACCCTTTCGCTTTTAGGTTTAACCCCGCATCTAGCTCCTGCTTGCTCGCGCTACTGCGAGTGAGCTGTTCTGCCGCCCAACCCTTATTTATTTAATATATTAAACATACCAGTTTTGTCAGCTCTGGAAAATGTCTCCGTACAGCTCTTATATATTCACCAGCGAAGGAATATTTCGCGCACAATGGATTGCCATCCAGTCGTAAAGTCTTCAAGCCAAGCGCAGATAACTCTTTTACATCTGCCAAATCCAATATCCAATTGTTACCTAAGTCTATTGCTTTCAAGTTGCTCATCAAACTCAAAACTTTCGATACATTGGCATTGGTAATTTTATTGTGCGCCAAACGAAGTTCCACACAACTGGTAAGACATTTTCGTGATGCCTGCATGAGGACGCGGCTAAGCATTTTCGGTGAGCTTAAATTAATTATGATATTTTCCAATCCTGCAAAATGTTGAACATTATAATTAAATAATTAAAGATAACGTCATGTGTAGCATATTAAGACCGTCAGAAAAATCTTCGTGGGTACTTTTAAACTGTCAGAATTTACATTAAAATCTGTCGATATAACTTTATAGCAGACAGATTTAATTAAAGTTATTGTCACTGGCTTATGGATCAAACAAGCTTTTAGTTTCACACTGGTGGCTTGGTTTAAGTACATCGAAATCCAATTCAGAAAATATTTGCGGTCATAATATTTTATACGTGACTATTAATGTTANTTTAAGTACATCGAAATCCAATTCAGAAAATATTTGCGGTCATAATATTTATACGTGACTATTAATGTTACCATCAATGCTTTGAAAGTTGTCCAGATTCAGCAGTCTGTTTATGCCATTATAACGGCGAGTTAGTGCTTTATCAATGCAGTCCATTGGATCTACTTGTCCCCGTTTATAAGGTCTAATATTCATAACCATGTAGTATTTTAAGACCTTATCTATATTCACGTGAGAAAGTGCTGAATGGTAATCATTAGAAAATCGTGGAACTTTTATTTCCATTTTGCAAATGTCAACTAAATATTTTAATTGATCGAAGCATTGACGCACTAGGAATTGATGCTCACCAGCCGCAAACTAAAAACATTTAATTTAAGCTAGTAAATATAAAATATTAATGGGCAAACTATTTACCTTATAATAACAAGGGAATATGTCTGATAACATTGGTGATACCGTAATAAAGAAGTAGTCAAAAATCTCGCCTTTTGTGAATTCTTGTGCTGGATCACGTATCTAAAAATGAGACATACATATGTATATACATACTTTCAAGCGTTCCTCAAAATCTGGACTCTTCGAGCAAAATATCTTTTCATAGGCTGAGGCATGTACATTAGAGTGGCCCAAAAATGCATGTGAAAAAGTAAAGTCGGAATTTTTGTGCTCTCACCCCCTAGGATTGTTCTATACCGAAAAAATATATCCCTATTTTTATTTTGAAATCAAAAAATAGTTACGAGGTCGCTCAAAGCGCCCAAATTCTTAAGAATCGTTATCTGCAGGAGACCCCCAGTAATAACAACCAATTGTTTATTTAGCCATGTTTTCATTGCTACTATAATTTATAGGTCCGCCAAAAACCCCGAAAAATGCAATGAGGATCCCAATAAAAAATCGTTAGTATTAAAAAATGGTTAAATAAACATTCCAGAATTCTGTACCATTTCTACCAAAAGTTGTTTTTTTTTCATATAAATATATGTATATAAATACATGTAAAACTTTGAGCGCTTTGAGCGACCTCTAAATATTTTTTGAATTCAAAAAAAAAAAACAAATAGCGGTATACAATCCTAGGGGGTGAGAGCATTACAATTCCGACTTTACTGTTTTTGAACCACCCTAATATACATACATTAGCGTGGTCCGCTGTTTTAGAATTTTCATTGCTAATAACAAAAAAAAAATAGTTGCTTAGCTCTAAAAAAAGGTGTGCTAAGGATAAAAATTGGTAGTCAATATTGTATTCTAAGAATACATATAACTGTAAGTAATAAAAATAGTAGAATCAAAGAAATAAAAATGTTTAACCAATTGCCTAATGATCTAAAAGACCTAGATATAAGTAATAGAACCAATAGTAAAAAACTAAAAAGTTGGATTAGTGAGAACTAGAGGAGAAAAAATATGCATTAACCTAATAACCATATTTTTGAATAGTATCGCCATTTTTGGTTATGATAGCATATTTAAAGGTATAGCGCATATCTTAACTAAAAAGTATATTTTCGGCATTTTTTTTGTTAAACGATTATTTAAAAATGTTTTGTTAATGTCGTTTAAATTTTTATAAATCCATCCCTTAAATACATTTCAATTTTAACATTAAAAATCTGGCAACACACATTCTGCGAAATTTTTCAATATAGTATTCATACAGTCGTCTATTTTTCGCATGTATAAAATATGTAAAATCATACACTTGTCAAATCTGTCTCGTAAAAGCACCGATAGAAGCCTTAACCTAGGACCTTCCATGTAAGACAGCTTTTGCGTTTTTTTTTTTAATGTAACAAGTGCAATATATGAATTCTAGCGTTGACTTTCTGAAATTTCTTTGCGAACGGTTTTTGCTCATTTTTTTTCAAATAATGTCAATGGAATTAATGTCATTGGCATTAATACACAATTCAAATGTCAACGCCAAAAGCGAGATAATGTCGGAAGAATTGTAGAAATATTGTCATTGACATTAATACACAATTGAAAAGTGAATTAATGCCAGAAATATTAAAAATCATGCAAACTTTACGGTGACGAGTAATAAGGCTTATCGTCTATACACAATAGTATTACCTTTCCGAAATCCATGAATATTATTGCTCTATCAAAAAAATATTGACAAAATACACTTCTAACATACTACATACTATGAACATAGTACACTTAGGTCTTTTTTATGCGGTACATGCGTTCCTCAGAAAGGTGCATAAAAAAATCCGCATAAAAAAGTTCTTTACTTTCATACAACAGAGGATACGTTCCAGCATTTTCAAAAACCGAATAAATTCAGATCCTCCATGTAAAAATTCTCAAAAATCGCATAAAAAATCCAGTGTGGCAATATTAAGCGAAAAAAAACAATTTATTTCTTCACTTCAACACTTATTATTCCATGTAAAACTGAGCATTAATCAAATAAATAAATATTTTATCTATATTTTAACCAAAAAGAAAAAAAAATACCACAATAAATACATGAATTATGTAAGAATATAAATACAAATTATTTATCAGAAGCATCGTCTCTTACAAACTGAAAACAAGTAATAAAAACCCTCAAAAATGCTGTTCAGAATCAATCACTACACTAAAAGTGCGATGGCAACTCCTTAACATTTTGCTTTTGAGTTATTCTAATCTACTGTCATTCCTATTGCTTATGTCTTGTTCTCTTTCTCTCAGCACGAAAAGCACATGTGCTAAGTCGATACTTTCAATAAAATTACATTATTACAGATCAAACTGCTTACTTATTGTTTAAACAAGGCTATCAAATCTAACATTAAATTTGGCATCCCTTGCGGGGAACAGAGTAATATATAATATACTCGAATCGGGATTCTCCGCCCTCATGATTCTACATAACCTCACACCGAGGCAAGCAGTTATGGCGCTCAAGAAA